CTTGTGAGGCAGACTTCAGTAAAGATGAGGACATGATTCTTTAGGGTAAGTCATATTAATTGCTATGTAATTTGTGACTCTTTTCATTTTGATGTTTTTTCTAGATGTTTTACACGCAAATATAGATGTTTTTAGATATTTTTTTACTCAGTTTTGGATGTTTTTTGTCAAAGAAAGTGGCAACACTGAACACTGGAGTCCGTGTCTAGAGAGACAGCTCAGACGTGTGACTTTTAGTAGTAATTTTAGAAGGTTGTGTTGATATAACAAATACCCACAAGGTTACATAAGCAACCCACTAGCACTGAGCAACACTTTGTGAAATATCAGCAACCAGATCACACAGTGGTCAGATCAAGTTTTTGGAACTCACCGTCGCGTCTCCCACATCTGCCCTCATTAACAGTATTCAGAATTATAATACACAAAATTCAACAGGACAATCCGTGTGCTCCAGCAGAATCAAACACCTTGTTAAGAACAACTGTCACATAACACGTCCATACGACCATCCTGTCTCACCGACCAAGAGCTGTTGAATCAAACTCACACGGGATTTATCACCATCGGTCCGCTACACATTGATCTCACTCTTCCTTCGCATTACACTTGGCGTCCACATTACCTAGAATTTCAAGTACAAACCCCCAGTGGCTTGAGCAACCAGACTCACCTCGTCAACCATATCAGGAATATCAATGTTTAATCCTATATGCACGAAGTGCAATGACTGGTGATAAAATCTGGCATACTTACATACAAAAGTGAGTATGCCTACAACAAAGATGCAGTGATTACAAGTGAATATCATACTTTGTATGTTTACTGTGCTGTATCCAAGTGTATAAACCAGCTTGCAAATTCATAACAAAGATGATAAGAGAAAGCACTTTAGTTTATTATAAAATATTTCTTGAAATTTTTCGATTTTTGTGCCAAAATATTTCACTACGTACAGTTTAATTCGAAAATGAGTGAAACGGTTTAAAATGATACCGTATTTACTATTTAAGTAACATTATTGTTAACTTTGTCTCGTATTATTTAAACTAAAATACAATTTTTCGGATTAGAAAAGTATGCAATGCTGCAAACTGGATATGAGAATAACCTGTGGCCAGCTACTTTCACCCACTTAACAATCGGTAACTGGCAGGTCTCCCCAATACAAGAGATAGCTGCAGCTGTTTACAGCTCTCCTGTGTCAGAAACTGGAAATGTCACTGGTGTTACCAAAGACTTCGTTGTTGTCATGGACTAGAACAATTGCCTGATCAGATCCCCCGCCAAGTTACCAGGTGTGTTTCATTCAGGCAATGTGATCCCTGCTCTCTTGTCGCCTTATCTGTATAAGTCATATGGGTGTTGACAATTGACAGTTTGCTTATCAGTTGCTTGGCATCATGAAAATATAACAGCTGACAAGTTTGACAGCTAGTACGTTTAACAGCAACATGTTAGGCAGCACGACTGGACAGCTGGAAAGTTTGACAGCAAGTAGGTTAAAAAGCAAAATAGTAGACAGCACGACTGGACAGCAAGCAGGTTAGACAGCAAGTACGTTTAACAGTAGCAAGTTAGACAGGACAATTAGACAGCCGGCAGGTTTGACAACAGCTGGAGGGTGGGGGCGGGAGGGAGAGGGCGTGGCAGCACCTCCCTCCCCGCCCCGTCCCTAACCCACCCCAAAACAGTGCTTAAAAAAAATTATGATGTTGAAGTAACTACCGTAACTCTGAAGTGGATAGCTGAGATTATAGTGCACTCATATTGGACAAGGATGTCATTCTGAAGACTGTTTATTATCAAATGCTGAAGGGCGAAACGATTGTAGATGAAAAAATATATGTAAGGTTGCCTGATTTTGGAGTGAAGTATATGTCCAACAAAAATTAAAAGTGGTACAAGACGAGATAAGAGTGCATATGTTTATAGATTAGCTAAAAATGGAGATCAAACAGCTAAGAGTGGAAATAGTAAAATACACAAAATATGCAATATACTAAAACAGCTAACTAGTACTTTCAAACTGCGACATGTTCCCATTCAAAGTAAGGATAGTGCAATGCTTACATCTGACACTGAGCAGAAGAAGAGATGGACAGAACATTTTCAAGAACTATTAAATAGACCTAGTCCACAAGAACCAATGAATTTTGACGAAAAGGCTGAAATGACCTAATTACCTGAGCTGGCGGGAAACGAAAAAGGAAAAACAAGGAAGGAAACGAGATAAGAAGGGTGGTTAGGACAATAAGTAGTTTCCCTCTGAACTGCAAAAGCAGGATAAGTACAGAAAAGGTAAAGGTTTTTAGAGAGCCATAAATATTACTCATAGGCCAGGCGATTAATGTGTGAATAGTGAGTTAAACAACAAAAACGCCACAAAAAAAACTATATAAGTAGCTCTTAGACAGACCACGTGCACGAGCTGCAAGTCCTTTTTTTGAATAAAACAAATGAGATATAATGATCACAATCCACATTTTTTTCCTGAATGTAAAACTAGCGTACTTCAAAGATAACTATACATTAATAATCAACATTGTGTTTGAACAGACCCTGTGCTAATCACCCTAGCTAACAAAGATGAGAGTTCGACTTCACTTCAGTGCAACCTACTATCACAATATCCGAGCGAAGATGTACATGAAAGTCCAGATCTAAGACAATCTATCTACTGAAGTACCCCCAAAACACCAAAATAATGAGCCAGTCCGGCTCTTAACTCAGTTACCCCTGAACCTACATTGTACTCAAAACCCTGTTTTTAAAAGGAGTAGAAAAATTATAGGGAAGAGAAAAAAGTTGGTAAAAAAACAACAAACAGTTTACGTTAGCTTTACAAAATCGATCACAATAAACAAACAAAGGACGTTGCGGCGATTAGCCTTCATCAGCACATAAAGGACGACACAATACACATACACAAATATGCTCTAACTATGAAGTGACTACATGTGCAAAATAAATTATATTCATCTGTGACCCTGGCGAAAAACCCTGTACGATTCTTCAACCGACAGGTAGGACTACGGGTTTCTAGTGTCACTGCCGCAGACCAATGAGGACGTTTTCTTCCTGCGCTGGCCACCTCCCTAGAATTTCAATCTGCACACCTGCCAGTTTGAGTCCGCTAAGTGTAGCCAAACCAAAATTACCATAGCAGGCTAACAAATTACTATAACATTTACTATAAGAAAGCATTTGACTGTGTGAAACATGAAGAAATAATCAAACTACTGGACAAGTTAAATACTAATGGAAAATATTTACGAATTATTAAGAACATTTATTGGCACAATCGGCAACTTTGAGAATGAATAACCATTTGGGTACATTTCAGAGCATAAAGAGACGAGTATGATAATGATGTGTACTATCACCTGATTTATTTTAATTATACAGTGAATTTACAATTAGATCTATTATGGATATGCCATGAATTGTAGTTGGTGGTCATAACATAAACAGACTAAGCTATGCTGATGACACCGTAGAGATAGCGACAAGTCAGAAAGAACTGCAGGAATCAATAGATGCGGTGGTGGTAGAAAGTGATAAAATGGGTTTTAGTTTGAATAATGGAAAGACAGAAGTAATGATGATTTCCAAGACACGAAAATTAGTACCCAAATGTTTAAAAAACGTCAAAGGCGTTATTTAGGACAAGTACAGTCATTCAAGTATCTAGGCTTACAGAAGCATCCCACGGAAGATGTGTCGCAGAGATAGAAAGGCATAGGACAGACCAAAACTACATGTTTTTTTAAGTATCCAGAAACCATGAGTTATAAACCCTTTGGCTCGGTACTATGAATATAGCAACCCTTCGGCCTTGATTCCATGATAGGTACCGTTAATCTGGGAGAAATGTGGCTTTTCTGTCTACTCCCGGGAGTGAACCCGGACCACAAGGAGTTCGTCACCCGGCCGCCGCGAAAGTCAGGTTTAACCAACTACGCTTTTTATTACGTTTTATAAAATGAAGAACATTTTATGCAATAAAGCCATGTCATTAGAGATTAGGAAAAAAATTCTCACATGCTATATACAGCCAGTTTCAACATATAGCTGCGAGTCATGGACAATTAATAAAGAAGCTGAACAATTTCTTGAGGCCTCGGAGATGTGGTTTTACAGAAAAATCCTGATAATTCCTTAGATAACTAAAACAAGTCACCCGGATGGACTCGAAGACAAAACTTATCAAAAAACATCAGAAAGAGGTAGTCATCATTTTTGGGTCATGTTTATGAAAAGAGGAAGACTTGAACATGTTGTGACCACGGGAAAGATCTAGGGAAAGAGAGACAGAGGAAAACAGCGCGAAAAGATTCTTGACAGTGTTTTGTTATGGCATGGAGTGGTGTCAACAAACAAATTGTGGAAAGGCATGATCGCCCAAGTCAGTCGACAAGGCACTTGATGATGATTTCGAAGCACACATTCAAATGACGTATGCCACATCTTTGTATACACTTCCTTGACACCGTGTTGTCGAATTATGTTGACTTTTTTTTTTCAACGAAAAGCTTATACTAAATTTTGTCGAAACTGCGCCAGTTTACACGCCATGGTTCTTCAGTAATACGGCATTCTTTTTGTGTGCTATCTTTGGCAGTCGTGATGGACATATAGACCAAGTTGCACAATAATAATACGCTTATGGAAGGACATAGCTGTTCAAAACTAAATGTGAATGTACGTATATTATAAATAAACAGTGCAGTGAAAGGTATCGCTCAACGGCTACATAAACAGCGATTCGTACAATGTCTTTAGGATGCTACCGCAGATTACTGCAGCATCCATTCAAACATTGCATTCCCTGCCATATTGCATACCATAGTGGAAGGTATGGGGCCAGTTATTATGTGGCTACTAGAAACACCAGAACTTCAGTGAATATTTCACTCATTCTTACTTTTCAAACAAACTTGACTGGTCTGTCGTTAGATGTAGGACGTACGTGCAGACGAAATGTCTTTTCCCCCAGCATGGGAATCACAGTGACGTTATCGAAACCACATCGTCGATTGTACAGCCTATCCACAGACAAAGAGGACGACACCGTCAAGTTCTCACGACAAATCGACATGTTCTTCGACAGAGCCGCTGGTTTACTGGAGGCCACACTTGTAGATAATCTCAGGTAACGTCGGTTTCTTAGCTAAACTTTCTGAGTTCTGACAAGTCTCTGAATCTGAAGTCAGGGGCAGTGTGTGACACGATCTTTATAAATAAGAGGGTTTTTTGTCATTTAGTTTTCCACCACTTCCGTTGCAGAGTGTTCCATCTTTAACATAACATATTGATTACAAATATAGCATCAAAGTAAGGGACTCCTTTCCACTCTTTTAGGGGTATAGGGCATTTAGGGCCAGACCTATATTTTTATAGACCAATCGGCACAAGATGGGTGATGGGGTCAGCATCACGCCGGCCGCCTGTACTTCCCGGGACTGCACCTGGTACCCAGTCAAGGCTGGGTCGACCTGGGTGATCGTGTAATACTTGTTAAAATACGGTACCATGGGTTTACACATTAGAGTTATGGTACTGCATACGTCGCGCCCTGGTAAGCAGCTGAATTTGATCAAACATGCCGTAGTGAATCGTCAGCCCTAGTGATCAGAGACAGAAGCAGACATCTGGCCCACACTAACGGACAGGGAGATAAACAGTTTAGCTAATGATATTTTAACGAGTGTCAGTCTGTAGCAGTGAATATATTCCCTATTTGTACTACAGGAACTGGCCAAGTGTCTCAGCGATTGGAGAAATGTCCACTCTTTAGTTAGCCAAATGTCCACACGTATTCTTTTATTATTTCACGTTTTACAGTTCACAACCCCGACACACTGATTCATTTTGCTGAACGCAATATTTTCAGACAGCAGATACCGGGTGCATGGTCTGTAGAGGAAACTGAGAGAAAGGTTCGAGGTGTTTTATCGGTGATCAAGCCGTGTTCTCACGTTCTGTCCCTGACCTTCCCCATCCGCCGTGACTCAGGTCTTGTGGAACTCGTGTCTGCCTACAGGGCTCAACACAAGCAGCACAGGACACCCAATAAAGGGGGAATTCGGTACAGGTAAATCTGACCTGACTGTCATGTTTTAATGATGGATGTATACAAACTACATTTTATAGATGCATTTTATAAAATGAAAACATCTTGCGCTCTTGTTCTCCTTGTCATTGAGAGTGAGAAAAAGAATTCTTGCTTGCTACATACATCCAGTTTTAACATATGGCTGTGAATCCTGGACAATCGGTAGGCAGGCCAAACAATTTTTTGAGGCCTCAGAGATGTGGTTTTACAGAAGAATGCTTAGAATACATTGGGCAGCCAAAAAGAGCAACCAAGAGGTTTTAAAAGAAGCGGGAGCCCGAAGACAACTTATCACATACATCAGAAGGAGACAGTCGACAAGGCACCTGATGATGATGATGATGATACAAACCACGGTTTTACAATGTAACTTCAAATAACATTCTTTGTCCTTTTTCTTCCCCAATCTTCCTTCTTCTTTTCCTCTTCCTACTTGTCCTCCTCCTACTTCCTTTTTTTTCTTCTACATTGTGTGAGATATCTCTGTCTAAGAACGGGCTAAGAGAATGTAGATAGGCCACTTTTAATTGTGGTAACTCATGTTTTGCGACCTACTACTTTCATTAAATCCTAACTACAATTTGCCTCTATCAATTTTGTTGTTGTCGTTATTATGTAACAGCATATCTCTACATCTTCTGCGTAATTTTTTCAAGTATCTCTCGACTTTCCACGACTCACTTCCGCACATCACGATTTGCTCCATGCAGATTTAAAAAACCCCTTTTCTTCTGTGAACCGACAAAGGTATATTGCACAAAATATTCTTTATCGAGCTTATTTCTCTCGTATAGTTACTGTCTTAAATACTTTCCATCTGCTTTATAAACAAACCAAACACTTAAGCTTTGTCAGTTTGTTTCTGAATAGCTCTGTTTATTATAATGTTGCATTTCTTCTTCTTCTATAATTAGCATTACTAGCTTTTCCGCTGTCCAAGAATTGTTCCTGTCCAAGAATTGTGGGTTGTGGGGTCTATCCGGGGTGGGTTGGAGGATGGGTTTACAGCTTCCCGAACACTCGTGACGTAACAGGAAACTAGTTAGGGGTTTGGTGAAGTGCTGATGTAGGGCCTATCTGTGAACCAAAACGCCACGTCTCAACCGCCACTTTTCATGAGTGAATACAGAATAATAATAATAATAATAATAATAATAATAATAACAGTAATTTTGTAATAATTGTGTTCTTTTTACGTTCGCTTGAAATAGATTATTTTTATCTGCAATGTTGTCTCTAGTATAAACTTTACTGTTGTAATACAATCAGTGACCCGTAAAGTTTGGCTTGTGATGCTGATGATGATGATGATGATAATAATAATAATAATAATAATAATAATAATAATAATAATAAACCAGCTAAGAACTGATTTTCCAAAAGCTTCTAGAGGTCAGTTTAATGCGTTTCTTCACACTTCCATATTTGTGTCGCAGCCCTGACGTCGACTATGACGAGGTCACAGCGTTGGCGTCACTGATGACCTACAAATGTGCTTTGGTAAACGTACCCTTCGGCGGGGCTAAAACTGGCGTTAAAATTGACCCAAGGAAATATTCAGGTAATATCTGAGATGTTGGTGAATGAACTGTAGTGCTGTATAAATGTTACTGGACACTTCAGCCAGTGAGTAGCTCAAATAGCAAGAAACGAATTCACTAAACAGAAGCTATCATTAGGAAGCTCTACGATAGGGGAAATAAAAATATGCACACAGATACATAACAACCTTTCTACAGAGTCTTCATCTATCAACAAATAAACAACCACACCCCCCCCCCCCCCATTTTCAACACTCCATAACTTAGTAACATATTATTTCTTAGTTATGTCACACTACTTAGGATTAAGTGATATTTTATTTCTAGTATAATCTGTAAGTATTCTAGATGCACTGGTTAGTCAGGTTATTCTTCTTCTTCTTCGCGTTCACCAGCTGTACACTCTGGCGGAAAGTTCTGGTTGTTCGTCCACACCTGGACTGCAATCCTGCTCCAGAACCTGGGTGTTGCATGTGCATCAGTTTTACAGATCTGATTCACTTGAATGCAGACTGTTGGTTCCTTGCCTCTCAGCCAGATGCACTCCGACTTCAAAGGAAGCTATCAATTAGTCGACTCTTACGACATGCTTTTTGGTAGGCAGTGGGTCTATTCTTGTTCCCCCCCCCCCCCCACAATGGGGCCCCGGATCCCACACAGGGAAGAAGTCAGGTTATTGATTCTTACCGTGTCAACATGAACTTACAGTGCCACGACAGCTAATGGCAGCCCTCGGAAACGCCTAGAAAAATCAGCATCTCGTGTAAACTACATCACAAACACTACGTTGGTGTATACTGGGGCTATAATGGAGGAATTCAAATTAAAGTATTGCAACCGTATAGAACTGCATATATTATCCAGCCCAACCAGTAAATGGAATCAGATCTTTAACCAGAACTTAAAATGATCCGAATCAGCCGTCCGTCATAATCTAGTCATCTCATTGTGAGATGCAGTTTTTCTTTAGTTTGAAGCCCCACCCTGGCTCTTGTCAGGGGCCGCAATATTGCCCAGCCATAAATATGGTCTAATGGCTGAACGCGTTTTCTGGGACCTCTCCATTGGTGATCCTCATCCACATGGTGGCACTTTGTGTCATCGGGTGTTTATCGCTTGTGTGATGTCCTTGCGGGGTAAAAATCTACGACTACTACTACGTCCGTCAGCATCGGTTATAGCAGTGAGTTCCAGCAGTCAACAGTAACCCTTACGTCCTTTTCGGGATGCAATTTTTTTGTATTTTGAAGCCCCACCCTGGCTATTGCCAGGGACCGCAATATAGGCAGGCCATAAATATGGCAAATTGTCTGAACGCGGTTTCTGGGATCTCTCCACGGTGATACCTCATCCACAAGGTGGCACTTTGTGTCATCGGGTGTTTATCGCTTGTGTGATGTCCTAGTGGGGTAGAAAGTCAGTCAGTCAACAGTCCCTTTATACGCTACTAGCGCATTGAGCATTAGAGGTAAGGCTCATATGTGTATAGACCGATTCGATGGGGGCCTGTGGGTTTACTTCCCAGGACTAAACCTGCTACCCATTCAGGCTGGGAGCCTAGGTCATGTTTGAAAATATCCAGTAGCATGCGGATATGAACCCACATCCTTCGGATACGCAGGCGAGCGTCTAACTGCAACATAACCGCGTCTCTCAGTTCCAGCAGCGACGTTGTAGAAAATGACATAACAGGCAGACTAGAATCCGTACCGAAGAGGATCAGTTTCTCTACTGCTTCACTGAACGTACCAAGGAGACCTATTCTTTTTTAAAAAGCATATAGCCAGATATCATGCAACGCATAAAGACATCATCTAGAGCCCCAAGCAACGCTCAGTCTTGTAGACTGGAAACCCGACTCGAGCCAAATGAGAGCTGGGGAATCTAATCAAGCGCACACGCTAGCACAGCCTCATACTCTGAAATACATTCTGCAAAAGTGCACCGTCACAAGACATTTCAGATCGCCAACCTGGCCCAGGAGACCTAGGAGTATCTTTTGTTGACACGTTGTTTAAATGGGGCTACAGGATCAGAGAACTAAGTTGGTAGCTCGGGTATTATTCCATACGGCTCGGTTTCTTTACAGAAAGCGACTGAGTGCCCGCAGAGATTGTCACATAAAACACGAAACTCCGAGTGTTACTATAACAACTTCAAGAACCACCTAAATATCTGCACTAGCGAGCTGAAGGACTGAGACCGAATATGAACAAAGACCTCCAGAGAGCCAAACAAGCGACTTATCCACTTCATCACGGAGTTACTGTAGCAACATATGTTCTTGCTTAGAATGCTGCACACTGAAAACTTTATGCAAGAGAAGACACTGTTATTTACTTTTGCCTCCCAGTATGTAACACTGTCGTGTTTTGTGTGTGCACAAGTTCATCTAGCAGAGTTTGTACAGGTGGGGTCTCCATTTATGCGCTCTATTACCTTCTGGTTTGCTGCATAATAAGCCGGCGTGACCAACTAATTAAACCGATCACTGTTTGAATTTTGGCGCACTTTGCAAATTCATCTGCATTGCTTAATCCCGCATGTTACCGTACCAGTGTTAGTTCCGGCTCCTAGCCCACATGTTACCATACAAGTGTTTGTTCGGGCTCCTAGTCCACATATTACCATACCAGTGTTAGTTCGGGCTCCTAGCCCACATGTTACCGTACAAGTGTTAGTTCGGGCTCCTAGCCCACATGTTACCATACACGTGTTAGTTCGGGCTCCTAGTCCACATGTTACCATACAAGTGCTAGTTCGGGCTCCTTGACCGCATGTTACCGTTCAAGTGCTAGTTCGAGCTCCTAATCGGCATGTTGCCATGCAAGTGTTAGTTCGGGCTCTTAGCCTGCATGTGACCGTACAAGTGTTAGTTCGAGCTCCTAGTCCGCAGGTTGCAATACAATTGTTTGTTTGGGCTCTTAGCCCCTATGTGACCGTACAAGTGTGTGTTCCGGTTCCAGCAAAGCACCAGTACAATTGAGTCTTGAAGACGTAATTTACGTAGCATGCTCTATATATTTTACCGTTTTATGTCACAGTTCACTGCCAATTCCCCCGTTCCCTTCTGTCTGGTGTCGTTTTTTAGGCACCTTAATGGTGCCTAGTCTGACACCTCGAGCTGCTCTCGTCAAAGTTCGTTGAAATATTTCGTCGGCATCATTGTTTCATCATGTAGTCCATTTAGTTCCTACTTCAGTGCTCGAAACACATATTTATCACCTTCGTCTCAGAATCTCTCAAATACATCGACATATTGCTTCTTCCTGCCCTTTCTCAACCCGGCTGCTATCTGCAAGTTTAAGCACCCAGAGCTAACAAAACCTTAGCCTGGATAGCAAGCCAAATCGCATATACCCAGTTCAACCTATAAATAAAATATAATTAGGGCACCAGCGACTTCTAAACCAACCTTATGGTGTAACCTGCAGTTCTTAGCAGTAAGGAAGTGTCATTGATTTCCTTGTATCTAGAGCATAGCAAAGACTTAGAATCAAATGTTGCATGTGACTTTGTTGTACACCCATTTCCCATGTGATACAGTCATTGTGTTTGCAATAGAAGACGAACTAGAACGCATCACTCGTCGCCTGGCCATGGAGCTGGGCAAGAAAGGTTTCCTACACCCAGGGATAGATGTACCAGCCCCAGATATGGGCACGGGGGAAAGAGAAATGAGCTGGATTGCCGACACCTATGCGTCGACTTTAGGCTACGCAGACATCAATGCCAGGGCCTGCGTCACCGGAAAACCCATCAGCCAGGTGCGTATGCATGCCTCTAGAGTACTTCTTATACAGAGAAAACTGACAAACGAATATTCATAATAGTCATTGTTTATGTTTAGCAAGACCTTGAAGAATCTGAAAAGATCAAGTGATAACAATTCTATTATGTAACGATTGACTTTGAGGAAAAGGGGGGGGGGGGGGTGGTGGGTCAGATTAATTAAAAGCGATCGCACACAAGAAATCACAACAGAAATGGTAACAGGTCATACGGAATTGGTTATAGTTGACGCATGGATGACTTTAAGGTCGTGGGTTAGCTTCCTGGCTGAGCCGGATTTTTTTTTTTTCAAAACTGACCTTGACTCCCAGGTCGACCCAGCCTTGAGTGGGTACTGGATGCAGCCCCGGGAAGTGAAGGCGGCCGGCATGATGCTGACCACATCATCCATCTTGTGCTGATTGGTCTTTAAAAATATAGGTCTAGCCCTATATGCCCTATACGCCTAAAGGCTTGGAAAAGGGACCTTTACTTTTGTTTAGAGCCAATTTTTCAGGGGAGATAAAAAAGGGGAAGCTGCAATCATATTGAGCCATCTTTCTTTTGAAATAGCTTCATGTGGAGACAACAATATGTGTGTATTTGTGTGTTAGGATGACCATCTAAATTTCTTTTCCCATAATCTGATTGTCAGCACAGTCATAAACCAATGTACATTTTCATCACAACAATGCTAGAGTAGGACATTGAACCTTTTGTGTCTTTGTTCAACCACAGACTGGCAGATAAATCGTAATGCTTACATGAACATGTTTTTACGAGATGTTCAGGTAAATAAAGATGAGAAATACTGACATCTTAAAAGATCTGAACATCAAGGAAGATTGGCTAATAAACAGCATCCTTTCTCGAAAGCTGAAATATTTTGGTCATATCAAGCGCCACAACGGATTGGAAAAAATTATAGCAGAAGGCATGGTACTAGGAAGGAGGGGCAGGGGCCGACCGACACGAAGATGGGCACAGGATATAAGTGACTCCTTGGGCGTGAAAGTGCATGGGGCCTCTCAGAAGCAGCCTCAGGACAGACTAGATCAGCATAAGATACAGCATCAATTATTAATTGTATTTTAATTTATTTTTCTAGTGTTTCAATTATAGATTATTATTATCAATATTATTTATTTATATATATTAGTGCAGTCATTGACATTTTATTTATTTATTTATTACTATTACATTGGTTTTTGATATCATTTTGCATTATTCTACTATTCTTTACATTATTTTTTTTTATTTTATTTATAAATATTGGTAAATTGTATTGAAATTCTATATATTTTTCATTTTTAAAAGTGCTAAAAAATTGTGGGTGTTATATTATACGGAAGTTCAGTACCACCATCATCAGGAAGTGCCATAATATTTTATTAATATAATATCATACACACTTGTATCATACAAGTGTCAAAAATTATTTCAAAAGGATTTAAATATTTGGAGAGCTGGCGAGGGACCGAGTTTCTTTCAGGCAGACTGTGATGAGAGCGAAGTTCTGCAAAGGGCCTGCTTCATGATGATAAGGTAAATAAGAACAATATGACCAGCGTTTTTATCAGTTTTATGATCAGTCACCATTGAAACAATTCCGCTTTCCTCTACCTCACAGGGTGGCATTCAAGGTCGAATATCTGCCACAGGGCGTGGCTTGTATTTTGGAGTGAAAATTTTTATCATGGATGCAAACTTCATGGAATCTATAGGTTTGACCCCTGGCTTTCACCAGAAAACCTTCATTGTGCAGGTAGAAATGTCTGTAGTGTGGTGGTTTCCATCAGTTGCATTATGCGTATGAAGTGATAACTTGTTAGCATATCCCGGAGCAAATGTGAGGTGTAAATGTGTTGCTGGTTTTACTGAGGTCCAGCAGTATTACTATATGCCAGTGTCAGCCGGAGAACCAACAAAGACTGAACCACCTTTATAGGCACTCGAAAATAAATGCTCAAAGAAACTGATGAACATTTACTGAATTATGTTAAATGTTTAATACAAAGGCAGCAAATGAAATGGTTTGCCCAGTTGGAGAGAAGGCCTTCTGATGCTATACCATACAAGGCATACACCGAAAGAAGAGAAGGACGTTGATCAAGAGATAGACTAAGAACAATATAGGAAGACAACATCAGAGAAACTCTACAGCCCAGCGATGTGTCTATGGTCGAAGTAGCCAGAAAAGAACGAAGCAGGACCTTGTTTCTACCTCGACACCGACAAAAAATCGTTTTGTTACAAGCGTGAAAATCCCCACATATGAGAAGCCTATTGTTAGGGATTTCCTTTATCCATCTAAGCCAGTTCCTCTGGTCATTTATGACAAAAGAGTCAACGGCAGAATACAGATTTATTCAATTCCAAATTGTGCCCTCGATATCTATCTTTACACCCTAAACCTCTGATGTAATGCGAGGCGCTTTTTTTTTAAGTTAGTCCCGTTTTGACCGCAGCGACAAACACCGATAGAAGACGTAAATGTGCATATCCAGTATGTTTATGTGGTTCATTAGCTAGCTGTGTGCTATTTTTTCATTGTTGAAATCTTATTTAATGCTGTGTGTGAGTGATTTATAATAGGTGCAAAACTGAACACTCCCGCCAGCTGCGAGTTTCGAGGTGTGATCCCGTTTTTAGTTAGCAAACAGCAGTGCTGCAGAAATACTCAGGCAACTCACTGAGGTTTATATGCCATATGTTGTGACTAATGGTATGGTTAGCAAATGATGTCGAATGTTTTAACTAAAGAAGGGCGAACAAATATCCCTGATGAAGATCGTAGCGGTCGGCCGAGTGTGGTGACAAACGATCTGGTCGAAAAAGTGGACCAAACAATTCAGGAAAATCGTCGTTAACCATTGCTGCGTTGTCTGTCGAATGTTCGGAAGTTTCACGTTCACTGATTTACGACATTATAACAAGAAACCTTGGATAAAAAAAGTTGTGTGCTATCCACAACAAAAGACGTGGAGTGTTGTCCTCTGGAATTGTATTTTTTTTTTTGCACGATAATCTTTGACCTCACGTCGCAGATGGAACTGTTCAACTGTTGCACAATTTTCACTGGTAAAATTGTTGACTACCCGCCCTACAGCCCCGATTGGCGCCAAGTGATTACCACCTTTTTATGCACCTCAAGAAGTAGCTGGCATTCCAGAGGTTTGAAACTGATGATAAACTGTAGACAGGTGTTAATGAATGGTTCCAGACACTGGCAGCAGACTTCTATGACACCGGAATTAAGAATCTGGTGATATAAAAAAAGCACTGAAATCAATGGTGTCTATGTTGAGAAATAATGTAAATGGGTGGTATACTTTTGGCTGCAATAAATCATATTTATATATGATGTTTTTTTTTTTCTCCAAATTTTATACCGGAACTTCTTTAAAAAATCGCTTCTCGTATGATTCCACTGGGTGAATTTAAGAAAGGCCAAGAAATTTAAGGACTATCTTAACAACAGAGGGTATCAGCAAATAGTGCTTAAAAAGACTGCGATATATCAAATCCCGACGATACGCGGTCACAGAATCATCAGAGGTATTGAAATAGGAACAAACGTACTGGTGAAACGAAGGCACCCAAAAGAAACCATAAGAGGAAGGTAATGAGAGAGGCCTAATGTGCTGGACTGGTTTATATCCATGGTGTGGCAAATATTGCACAAGATAGAATGGAGTGGAGGAATGGATAGCAGAACAGGAGGCTGATGTGTGTTGCGGAGTCAAGCAGATACTCAAATCTTGATGTAGCAGCCCAGAGGCAGATGCAGGCACATATGCACATGTCTATAACGTGCAGTTTTGTATTGTGTTCAGATTAATGCCATTGACTTTAATTGTATAGTTAGGTTACAACATTTTCAGAAATAGTTATTGTTCTCTTTTCTAAAGCCTGACATCTTTTCTGTATACATGGCTTACTGCTTGTTTTGTTTCGTGCAATGTTTTAGGGCTTTGGGAACGTCGGTTTCCATTCAATGCTGTATCTTCACATGGCCGGGGCCAAGTGTGTAGGTGTGGCAGAGTGGGACGGCAGCATTTATAACCCACATGGCATAGATCCGGTGACACTTCAAGAGTATCAGAAACTACACGGAACCATCATGGGCTTTCCGGGCGCCTGCACGTACGAGGGTAACCTGTTGTGCAAGCAATGCGATATTCTAATACCGGCGGCCAGCGAGAGGCAGATCACAGCCAGACTAGCTCCACACATCCAGGTTATTCATCATCATCCATCGTTCTCTTTAACACATGTATTAACCAATACAGGTTATTCGTTAACTGACCACGATACCTCAGTTGAACGCCTGGTGCGTAGTCTCTCTTGGCACATATCAAAGTTTATGTGTATATGCTGATCATATACTATGGTGCATGTATATCTCCATAACGACTTGCCGGTCATAAATTGTTTAAGTGGGTAAGGATGATATAACTTAACAAGGAGAATTTTAATCGTAGAACGTGAACTCCATAGTGTCCACGTGCTTCCAAATATAGTATACCCGAGTATCCAAAATTGCACACGCTGAAAGTATTTTCTATTTGTGGGTTGCTTCCTAAATTTGGAATCTGGCTTTGGCAGCGGCCTATTCAGCAAGCCCCCTCCTCCCCCTTCCCCCTTTTCGACCTGATTTAGACTTGTAGATATGACAAACCCACATGGATCCATCTAGCTGTTGCTTTCGTCTGAAAAAGCTTAATGTACAAACTGACTACCCAGAATATAACACACAAAAATTGGAGATGTGTGAACACATTCTTTAGTTTTTTTTATGGTAAAAAAAAAGAAACCCACAATCCAGACGATGCATCACTCATCAAGTCTGCGCTAGTCAGTGAATCGTGTTCTATGATGAAAGCTGCTCGTTCCTTGTCACATTTTATCGTTACATCATGTTTGGGACATTTCAGTACCAACAGTCGAGTCATTATTATTTCATTCAGCTCGTGGCAGGAATGTTTAGCTTCACAAGTAAAGTCAGTTAAAAAAAAAAAGAAAAACAATTTTAGGCGGGGTTGACTTGTGATTTCGCTTCATAAATCTACATTTGATTTCAAGGACAATGGTTTAGCTGGTGATGTTAACCTATCAACAATCAACTGAAGACAGGTTATTACACAGCAACGCTTCCTGGATTTATTTATGTCCAATATGTCTTAACGTGTCGGAACGGATCTTTTAATTTACTTTCTTACTGACATAAATATAACATACTGCTAGTAACAACAGATTATAAGTGACGCCTAAACGTCCGCGTATACTTTAATCGACAGGCTAAAATTGTGGTGGAGGGCGCCAACGGACCGACAACGCCAGCAGCAGAGCGGATATTGCTGGAGCGAAACGTATTGGTGATTCCAGACGTCTACGTCAATGCTGGCGGCGTCACCGTCTCCTATTTTGAGTGGCTGAAAAATATCAACCATGTCAGCTACGGCCGCCTGACTTTCAAGTATGAACGGGATGCGAACTACCATCTCCTCAACAGGTACTGCCTGACAACTATCAAAACGACACAATCGATCTAGACCAGGGGTTCTCAACCTTCCTAGTGCTGCGACCCTTTTATACAGTAGTTTCTCATGATGTGGCGACCCCCACCATACAATACTTCCCGTTGCTACTTTATAACTTCAGTAAATATGTGTTTTCCGATGGTTATTGGCGACCCTCACCATACAATACTTCCCGTTGCTACTTCATAACTTCAGTAAATATGTGTTTTCCGATGGTTATTGGCGACCCTCACCATACAATACTTCCCGTTGCTACTTCATAACTTCAGTAAATATGTGTTTTCCGATGGTTATTGGCGACCCTCACCATACAATACTTCCCGTTGCTACTTCATAACTTCAGTAAATATGTGTTTTCAGATGGTTATTGGCGACCCCCACCATACAATACTTCCCGTTGCTACTTTATAACTTCAGTAAATATGTGTTTTCCGATGGTTATTGGCGACCCCCACCATACAATACTTCCCGTTGCTACTTCATAACTTCAGTAAATATGTGTTTTCCGATGGTTATTGGCGACCTCTGTAAAAGCGTTGTTTGACCGACAAAAGGGTCGCAACCCACAGGTTGAGAACTGCTGATCTAGACAACAACTGATCCCCTGATAACTTGTAGCCACCTTTTGCGGATCTTCGCTATGCAGATGACACAGTCCTCCTTTTGTAAAATGTTGAGGGAATCATGTTTGTCCAAAAAACAACAGTGAAGATCAAAACCTTTTGTAATTTAAAAAAAAAAAAACTTAAATATTGTCCACATTAAAAATAAAAAATTAAAATTAAAATTGGCTGTCACTCCAAAATAAGAATAAATGACGAAGAATTTGAAAATGTCTCAAACTGATTATCTAGACTCCATAATAAACAGTAACGGAAATTGTTCAAATGAAGGATGACCATAGCAATAGAGAGCTGAAACAGCATGACAAGTCTGTGGTCAAGCGCCCGCCAGCAAGGAAATCAAAGCTAACTTTTGGAGAGCATGCATCTTCCTTGTAGCCTCTTACGGATGTGGACCGTGTACTTCCTCTAGTCCTCAAGGAAGAAAATGAAGGTTTTTGAGCTAACATGCTACAGATAGATTCTCAGTTAAACGTGGAGAAAAATGAAAAGAAGCATTGACATTTTAAAATATCTGAACACCATGGAGGGTGACCATATCGTTCTTTTTTCGTCGGGACTGTATCTCTTTATTTGGCAGGCCCAGACCGTGGCGTCAATCATCATCAATCGGCAAGTCCTTTACAGAAAGTCGCTCTCTTTACGGCACGCTTGAAAGTATCCCTTTCCCTAGCCAGCTCTCCGGCCCCATGTGCTTTCAGTGCCGATACATCTTCAATGTCTTGTATCCATCTTCGCCGTGGTCGAACTCTGCCTTGCCTTCTACAAATTGCACCTTCTATCACTGTCTTTTCCAAGCCACCATGATGCTTGATGTGGCCAAAATACTTCAACTCTCGGGACAGGATGCTGTTCATGGGCCAGTTCTCCTTGATGTTCAGCTCTTTCAGAGTGTCGATGTTTTTCCTTTTTCTGGTCCATGGTATTCTTAGAATTTTTCTATATCATTTCAATTCAAAATCTCCAATCTTTTTCCTCAGTGACTGAGGGAGAGTCTAAGACTCACCGTAAGTTGGCAAAGGAAAATACTGAAGAAAAAATCCGTTGGCACAATTAATGTTTTTTTAGTTTCGAGGCGACAGTCAGTGGCCCATCTTAAATACGACACTGTCCTGGCGAAAACGGGACGATATGGTCACCTTAAGATTGTCTCGGAAGTTAAACTAGTTCAGTCATTTCAAGCGCCATGACGGATTGGAAACATTATTAGCAAAAGGCATGGTACCAGGAAGGAGGAACAGGGGCCGACCAACACGAAGATGAGCACAGGATGTAAGTGATTCCTTGGATATGAAAGTGCACGAGGGGGAGAAGGGGGCTGGCGATATGTTTATTCCAGGCAGACCGTGATGAGAGCGACTTTCTTCAAAGGACCAGCTACATAATGATGATGATGATGACACCCTTTTTAATGCATCCAAACATAAACATGAGCGCCAAGAAACAGATTTTAAACAGCATATTTATACCAACACTGTTCCTGTGCTTCCAGTGCCAGACTTGGACATTATCAGGGGCTAACCTACGTACAATTAACGCATGTGAAATGAGAAATTCCGCCAACTTGACCATGTGAGATATAGTTAGAAATGATAATATCAGACAGACTGTAGGAGCAACAACATGCAGCATATTCATTGAGAAAAATATCGTATGGTTTGGTCATCTTGTAAGAAGGTAGCCAGGACAACTACCAAGGCAGGCGCTACAGATGAAAAGATCTTAAGTGAAAAAAAGAGTCAGCCCTAGGAGAATATGGATTGATGACATTAGAGAACTTCCACATCGACACGGAATGACAAAAGCTATTTCTGCTCATGAAGCAATGGATCGCAAACTGTTAGTCATTTAATTAGTTAGTTAGTCGACAGATTATCCTCTTTGTACGTCACACCACTAAGTCCATAAGTGCTGGGATGCCCTCTTCAGTAAATCCCGCAGCTTGTAACGGTTAACGACAACAGTTCTGTGTTGATTTATTATTTTTCTTTGGCTACCCGCGTAGTGTTCTTGTTTAAAAACTCCCCGTTTAATATGTTCTTCTTGCAGTCTGACCATGATTGCAGATTCACAGTTCTCAGTTGGTTCACGCAAACCTCTTAACTCTCTTGGAGCATTCAGTATATCAGCCAGGTCCATGGCTTGTCCGGCTTTCACAGTAGCTTTACCTGTAAGTCTGTCAGCTTGCTCATTTCCTTGTACCCCCACATGTCCTGGTACGAAAATAAAACTAATCCGTGTCAGCCGTGAGTTCTGTAGAACCACCAACCACTGCCTTCGGACTCAGCCGTTCTTTATCCTCCTGAGCATACTCATCGAGTCACTGAGAAAGCATGCCCTAGTGAAAGTCTGTGTCTCTAGCCATGTTACTGCTTTAGTCACAGCAGTGACCAGGGTTGCTATGTTGGCATTTTTTTTTTGCAAGATTTCACAAATTTGATATATCTGAAATTGAACTGGCATATGAAAATGAACTGGCATATTTTGGCATATTTGGGTTTTTCCTGGTTTTTCTTATCAAGATGTGCTCACATTTGCTTCATGGTTCCTCCGTTAGAAACATGCAGATTAGCTAAAAGCAATTTAGATCTACAGTTAACATCTTTATTTCAGTTTGACTTTGTTGTGGTGTCCTGGTACGGACTAAAGGAGATTCGCGCCATTTCTTATTGGCAGCATATTGTAAACTGTGTCAGTGCACTGTTGCACCAAGAATTAGTAGCATATCAAATCATGAAAACACCGAAGAACACAGGATGAAAACTCTGTCAAAAAGCCAGTCACAGCTTATTACAACAATGACTCCTATCCTAGGCAAAGTAAGGATACAGTTAAAGGCAGCATAGTTGTAACTTGCTGTAGGCATGACCTGCCATTGTGCAATACGCACAATTAATCATCTAAGTAAAATCCTAAGAGCGCATGGTCGGGGAAGTACACTGGAGCAAATACAGTTGCATATAACTAAATGTTCATGCCTAATTGAAAAATATGTTTTCGCCTGCACTTAAGGGTGACCTTATTAGTGATTTTCAGAGCAAGAAATATTCCATCATTATAGATGAGTTGCAAAGACTTCATCCCATCTGAGAAAATGCTTCAAGATTTTACATTCGAAAAGGTTTACGCTGTGTCTTCCACTTGTTCCAGTGAGGATGACAGTGAAGAATTCAATCTATAGCTTTTGATATGAAGCGAGTACAATGTTACACTTTATCTGGCATTTTCTGGCATATTTTGGGCAATGGTTTGGCATAAAATGAAGTTTTTCATCTGTCAACCCTGGCAGTGACCTCCTTCGCAAACTGTTCCTACCCTAAGTGGCTTAACGTCATAAGTGGAGATTGACGGCGATGAATAAACTGAAATTGTCATAGGTTTGACAACTGCATATATTTCTTCATAGGTACTGAACATGCAAAATAAGAGGTGCAATTCTATCTTACCCTGACTGACATAACAAATCCCCTCGATGTCTCACCATCTAGCCGGACGGCTGGATGTTGTTGGTTGTGCAATGCTCAAACTAAGTGCATAAATATAGGGAAAGGCACGCCTCCGTTGATGATCAACCATTTCTGATGCTGAAAATATTCGAAGGCTTTGGTGTATTAAACAATAGTAAAGATTGATGCTCTACACAAAGATGATTCTTGTTCAGAAGTTATCGTCTCGGATACCCTTGATCTGTGTGAAACTTAGCTATACTTCTTGTAATTTATATTCTAGCTTCCTGTCAATTCGCTTCGAATATACTTGCTAGTTTGACCAAAATAAAAAAAATAAAAAAAAAGTACACGATTTCGATAACTGCTGCACAGTTTTAATGTCATTTAGCCGATACTCAAGATAATTCCCCCCCCCCCACCCCACCCCTATGTGGGTGGGAAACTTGTCAAGTCATCATCATCGTCATAAACTATTTATTCCGTTAAGCGCCATGGGGAGGAATAATTTGCGCTGGCTGCCACTGGCTATTGTCATGCCGCGAAGGCGTAGAGTGTCTTTAATGTTATCGATCCATGTTTTCCGCGGCCGTCTTTTTGCTCTAGTAGCTGATCTTCTGAGATGTAGTGCTTGTGATGGTATTTGATCTTTGCTGCATTCTGATGGTATTTGATCTTTGCTGCATTCTAACGAGACGGCCCAAACCACTCGATCTGCTGTTTCTGAGTGAATCTAGTACAAGGTGCCGTTCCCACAATTTGCCTGATAATTTCACTCCATCTCGGTTTGTTATGTTGGCTGATTTTTATCAAGCATCTCATCTGGCAGGCGGTGATTTTACGTATATAGGGTTTAGACAGTGTCCATGTCTGGCACTGGTAGCTTAATGTTGAAATTAATATGCAGTTAATAATCTGTCTCTTTGCACTCATAGTTATGCTTGGATGTCTTAATAATGGTGACAATTGGTATATAAATGCACTTGCTCTCTGACATCTTGTTTCAATTTCTCTGTGAATTCTACCATCTTCTGTAATTATACTTCCTAGATATTTAAACTTGTTTCAGAGCAGAACCATTCAGCTGTATGTGTAGTGGGGCAGGGGTTCTACTAACTTGCATGGCAAGTATGACCGACAAATCACACATCCATTTGTTGGAAACACTTTGCATTGAAACGTTTTAGTGTTGTTTTTTCTGTCGAATGTCCTAGTTATATTTCCCCGTTAACGGTAAAATGCATGCACTGTGTAATGTTGTCTTGAAATGAAATGTCTACAATTGACTGTACTGCTGCTTGCCAGTGTTCAGAGATCCATCAACAGCTGGATGAGTGACGAGAAAATGCAAGGGCAGATCAACATTACACCAAGCGACGAGTTTAAAGCTCGCATTGCAGGTCAGTGGTCTCACGGTGTGATTGGATCAGTGCTCAGCGACTGGTGATACAAGCCACCGTTCATGTGTTATAAATTTATTATCTGTGAAACGGTTTGTTTGTTTGCTTGTTACAGGTAGTCTGGTAGTCTTAGTTTCAGCTTCATATCAAACTGGTCACCCCATCTTTGCTCCGCTCCTGTGCTAACGAAAAACACACGGAATGTTTATCACAGTCCCTTGTGAAATATTGACAGAATGCTGTCTCAGGATATTTAGCATATACACGCATTAAAGCATACGGTAGCCACCCGAAGTGCTAACACAAACAGTCTGACATTAGAAATGGCATTTCAAATGCAGTTCATTGGTGGTAGTCACCTATAGATCAGCAGTTTGCTTGTTGTACCCCACCAAGATATCACACAAGCGATAAACACCCGGTGACACAATGTGCCACCATGCGTATCAAGATCACCCGCGGAGAGGTCCCTGAAACCTCTTTCAGCCTAGGCCCTATTTATGGCCCGGTTATATTCAAGACCCCCGACAGAAGCCAGGGTGGGGCTTAAAAAAAATTGTATCCTACATGGGGACGACTGTGAAACGGTTTGATTAAACTCCACCGACTAGCAAGCACTACAGGGGCTGCCGACCATGCCATGTTCCTTGTTGCGACTTTGAATGGTTTAGCCTTCTTATCTGTTTACATCGCGGAAATGTAGATGGGTGGTATGTATATGAAAGATGGGGGAAAAAGGGGTGGGGGTTAATAACTTCCAGCTTTTTTCTCCTGCGGTGGTACCCAAACTCTACCAGCCAACTTCGACATTTATATGTGTCTCTCCCTGCCCGCATGTGGGAGAACGGAACGTGCATACTGCATTGTGATCTGGCTCCTGCTCATAGTAAAAGCATAAGCGCCAGAATCTGGGATCTCAGGCATGTTAAACAAGGTCAATGGGTTGAATGAAAACATAAAAGATGTTATGGTAAAAATGGCCGCGAACGAGCTAAATTAACAACAGGTCAGACATTGTTATTCGTTGCTTACCATGGTTCATAAAGAGTTATAAATTAGTAAGAATTTTTTTTTTCAAGTATCCAGAAACCATGGGTTAACTATTTGGCTCGGTACTATGGATATCGCAACCCTTTGGCCTTGATTCCATGATTGATATGGTAAATCTGGGAGGAATATGGCTTTTCTACCTACCCTCGGGGGTGAGCCCGGACAACAAAGAGTTCGTCACCCGGTCACCGCGCAGTCCTGTTTAGCCAACCAAAAAGAATAATTCAGAAGTGGTATGCATTGGTAATAACGATTAAGAAAGGTTTGGATAATAATCACAACGGGTCAGAAAGGTTGGTACATTAGTAACGACGGGTATAAGTGGTGGATAGGTAGCAACAACGGTTTCAGAAAAGCTAGTAAAATAGTATCCTATGTTCAGAAAGGGGGATCATTTAGTATCAACGGTTCAGACAGGGTGATTAATTAGTATCATCGGTTCAGAAAGGGTGATTAATTAGTATCACTAGTTCAGAAAGGGTGATCATTTAGTATTATCGGTTCAAAAAGCGTGATTAATTGGTATCAACGGTTCAGTAAAGGTTATAATGACGCCAACTCAGAAGTTACTGTAGCAACAGTTAATAAGGACTTGCAATAACTTTAGTTTAAATATAAAAATAGGAACACTGGTTCAGAAGGAGTTTAAATGAGGACTTTTTCTTTTAAAGATCCATGTTTCGTTTTTGTTTTGTTTCCTATTGGACAATTATGAAGTTGGCATTTGTTATAAAAAATGGATAATATCCAGTTTCGTCCTTTTTAGGATGACATTTTTTTTTTATTTGAAGTCCCACCCTGGCTTTTTCCAGGGGCCGCAATATAGGCAGGCTATAAATATGGCCATTTGTCTGAACGCGGTTTCTGGGACCTCTCCACGGAGATCCTCATTCACATGGTGGCACTTTGTGTCTTCGGGTGTTTATCGCTTGTGTGATGTCCTAGTGGGGTAGAAAGTCAGTCAGACAGTCAGTCGGCATTTGTATTTGCGATTAGCCGCATACGGAGAAAAGGAGCTAAGATTATGCTCGATGTCGACAAGGTAACATTATGTGATCAGCCCTTCTCCTCTGTGAAAAAATATGTTGATAGCGAAGACTACAGTACATTTAAGTAAATGGGCGATGTAACTAATATACTTCTTAAGATCATGCAAGACAGAATTCAATTAAAATAAAAGTTTCTTCAGAACAGAATTGGTTTCGGAAAAGTAATGGCACTAGGAAAGCCACATTTTACCCAAGAATAAAGGCTAAAAAAACATATCGAAGTTCAGAAAACTAATGATGCAGGTTTCATAGAATATAAGAAGGCCCTGGACAGGGTGCAGCATGAAAAGCTTATTACATGCCTCCAAAATATAGCATGAGTGTGTTGGAGATCCATTACAGCCAACCATCAGTGTGGGGACGGCACCTGATTGACTGACTGTAAATAAGGTTGGAAGTATATTTCGTTCCCAAAATGTAAATTGTTGAGAGACGTGGTAGCGTTGAACAATCGCCCGCCGGCCTGAAGTTTTAGAGTTCAAATCTACATCGACTCGAATTTTCTTCTTTAAAATTGACATTGACTCTTAGGTCGACAGAGTCTAAAATGGGTACCAGGTAATGTCCTGGGAATTAAAGGCGGCCGGCGTAGGCTTGGCCACATCACTGACATGAGTCTACACAAATGTGTCAGTGTGCGTGCATATAAGTATGTGTGTTTTTGTGGTGTGTTTTTGTGTTGTGTGTGTGCTAGCGGTATGAGATACTTGCATTGCTATCTATGGTATTTACGTGAACACATGCTTGTGTGTCACTAGGAGCTTCTGAGAAAGATATTGTTGACTCTGGTCTGGAGCAAACGATGGACCGAGCTGCTGAACAGATGATCAGGGCATCACGTAGATATAAACTCGGCCTAGACCTTCGCACAGCGGCCTACATCGTTGCCATTGAGAAGATCTACAGCTTCTACAAGGACTGTGGCTCGACTTTCTTTTAACGCTTCCCCGCGCTCTTCTTCTTCTCTTCCACCTTGTACCTCAGCGAAGTGTCTGGGGACATGTGACGTTCGTTCATGAGCCATTTCAAGAACACTAATAAGATTGATGTTCATTTCTGTAAGGCTGTTCTTTATGCTATCGCTCCTATTTTACGAGGTCTTTCCCTCGCTCTATGCCCGTTGTAAGGTTTCAGTGTGGCTCGCTGAGGTGGATAGTTCCAGCGCATTCTAAGATGTTTAATTGTGCTTATGCAGATAACGCCTTGACCATGACAGTCCCTACTTAGCTCGCTTGTGTGCCCACCTGTACATAGTCTCTATTGAGGAATCACTGAGTTTAACACCCTCCCCCAATCTCTATGTTTTCCTTAATTTCTCTTTTTTAAACACTATTACTGCAGATCTCAGTATAACTTGTTTAAACAATTCACCTGTCATTCGTTTACTGTGGATGCCCACCCCCCCTCACCCACACACACAACCCTCCCCCTCCCTCGTTATTCCATAATATAGATGGCATTAGACGTAGCTGCACTCGTATGCCTAGTCTCTTTCGGTATGTCATTTTCTTGCAAACATTTCAGTTTCTGCTCTGGTGTTTGCTGTCCAGGTCTGGGCAGTCTACGACTGGTCCGCCTGAGCGCCTAGTATGTTTTAGACTAGGACCAATGATGCAGTGGTGGCCAAATCATCTTGTACTTGCTATCTGTTCGCATCACAAGATACTATGTGGCATGGCATCGTGTAGGGTGATCTTCAAAAAAAAACAAAAAAAAATAACCAGATTGACCCCCACCCCCTTCTCTCGCTCTCTTTCTCTTTTTATCTCTCTTTATCTCTCTTTTATAGTTGCTAGCTGAAAGTTTGACAACACAATAACCTCACGAGCCATGCCACATCTTGATCATTCGTCTACAGGACACATTTTAGATACCTCCTTCAACCTCCTGAACAGTTTGAACCTATAATACAACAGAGGACTGTGCAGGACTTTCCACGTTTGGCCTTGTTTGTTGAGTCTCGTTAAGGTTGTCCATTCAGATAGGCTACATCACTTGATTCTTGTGGTCAGTCTGCCGCTTTTGACTGCCCTGGGTATATTGTTAGTCTGTTGACAAGATCTTGCACTCACATGGCTTGTACAGAAGTTAAACTGGTTGACCTTATATCTCAGGGCTAGGCTAACGAAAGGGCTGTGAGAAGTTCTATCGTACTTTTATGGTTGTCATTTGGTACGAGACTGTAGAGCGGTGACCCCTGTTAACCTGAAACATATGTTTCACTAAACAAATACAAAACGTATTTAAAAACAATTTGTTTAATGAGTTCTAGTTGTTCTTGTTCCTTTGAGTATTTATTTAATTTATTCTTTTCTCCGGTTACTTTTCATGCTATTTCTTTCTTTTTATAGTTGAATTATCTGTCTATAGTATACAATATTAGATTTATTATTCATTAATTTCCATTGTGGGAGTGCCCGTGGTGGAGCGGCTAGATGCTCGCCGCGGATCGGAAGGTCGTGGGTTCGCTCCCTGGAGGAGTCGGACTTTTTTCAAATATGACCAGGTCGACTCAGCCTTGAGTGGATACCGGGTGCAGTTCCGGGAAGCAGAGGCGGCCGGGTATTGCTAAATCACCCATCTCTCTAGGTCCTGGTCTATAAAAATATAGGTCTAGTCTTTAGATGTGGAAAAGTTTTTTTTTTTTTTTTTAACTAATTTCTATTGTATTTCCTTCGTGAATGTATATGGCATAGTGGCTAGTAGGCTTGAGTACTGATAATTTTTTGCAGATATGCTAGGCCGATATCCCAGCCTAGCTGTAAACCACATTATATAATACCAGCTGCCCTTTCAAAAGCACTCACATGAAATGAATAAATGTCTGTTTTGATCCCTTAATATCTTTGTATCACCATCTCACCATCGTTCCCCGATATCACCGTCCCTGCTCCACTAGTTTTTCATTACGTAACCTTTACTGCCGCCGGAAAATAATAGTCGTTTTACACCTGACAAACTACTGCCGGTGTCTTAGACGTGGCTGCATAATCACCTAAAACTACCCCCTCCCCCCCCCCCTTTCCAGCTAAAAGGGGGGGGGGGTGAACTGACCTGAACGGTTAACGCTCATCGTTGTTTGTAATTATATTGCAGATTCTATAATGTTAATTGTGTATGAATAGTCCATTTAGACCATTCCAGATTTGGTAGAATATATAGAAAAAGTGATGACGTCAAGCAAATGCCAAGAGACACTAGACGCAACATCATATGCCTTTGGTTGTTTAGATATCTGCTGTTTTGTCCGTTCAGTTTTCTAATCGCAGTTTGTTGGGAAAGTGACTTGCGCAAGGACTTGGATTTAAGTGAGGAAGAGTTGCGCAATTCGTCGACCTCACTCTCTTGTCTGTGTCCATCTTGATCGAGTGGCAGGACAATGTCGAGACGATTGGAAATGGACCTAGGTGCAGTGGATGACCAAGGCGTCTTAAGTGCCCTGCCTTGCTCGAAGCTCTCCACAGAGCCTGCTGGTAAACGCCTTCTTGCTCGTAGAACCAAAAAAGAGGTTTCATCCACTCAATCCGCCGAGTCCAGTCTTTGCATGCAGGATAGGCATATCCATTTCATCGAGTGGTTTAGAACCAGGTCGGCTACCCTCTCCTGGTTTAGCCAGTCAGTCAAATCTTTTGCCCAGGGGGTGGCCGCTGTTGCATGCTGACAGCTGCTGGGAGCCACAGGAGAGAGCTGAGTGCCAGACCTAGCCCAATGGTGGTGAACTGCCCTAAGAAGGACATGAAGGTCACCTTACCAGAGGTACTACTAGTATCTGACACCCCAGACATATCATATGATATGTATAAGAGGTGTCACAATATGTATACAACTTTAGTGGCGGCACTGTATGTGAAGCCACGTGGAACCCAGCACAATGTTAGAAGATTTGACAAAGGTCTAATTAGACAGTATGTGTTGGACCGTTGGAGCGAGAGGATGTGTTTATAATCCAGTATGAATGTAAAGAATCCTTGTCAACGTGAAACTGTTCAAGACGACGACTCGACTACAACATTCATCAAAATGAAGTCCATCCGACACAGTTGTGGGAAACCACGAATGCAATGACCGGAGTCACCCAATCGGAGAGGTTGAAGTGAAGACGGAGAACTCCAGAGTGTGAATGCGTTGCGATTCAATGTATTTGTGTCTGAACCATATGGTGCTCGACAGCTGTACTTGTTGAGTAGGACACGGACTGGACATATTTTGTAAGTGCTCAAATGTTAATAAATATATATGTATCATGGAGATGGTGTCTATTCCTAACATCTGTGTCGTGGTAGAGTGTCAGTCATATCATCAGTTAGAGTACACCCCGCTAGACAACAGCCAAGGACCGAGCAGACAACATCGCAGCTGGGAGGTCGTCACAACACGTTGAACTGTATTCAGGGGTCGCCGCATTAGGAAGGTTGAGAACCACTGGTTTAGGAGGTATGTTCATCGACTCTCATTGAATTGCAGGGTTCCTGTATGGCCAGATTACCTATCGAGTGGTTCAGGGAGCTCTGGTGTTTCAATTAAGTATTGCATCGAGCCATTACAAAGATCCACAATTTTCGTAGGCTTTTCAAAGCCTGTACAACCATTGAAGTGGAAATGCATAGTCGGGAGAGCAAACAAGAGGTTTTGAAAGAGGCGGGAGCCCGAATAGAACTTTTCACAGACATCAGAAGGAGACAGTCATGATGTTTCGGCCATGTTATGAGAGGAGGGAAAAATAGAACATGTTGTGACCACTGGAAAGATCTGTGGAAGGAGGGATAGAGGAAGACGAGAGAAGATTCTTGACAGTCTTGTTGCGTGGCATGGAGGTGTGTCGGCACACGAACTGACACATGCTGCAGGAGATCGCAGATTGTGGAGCGGCATGATGAGACTGACGCACGCATGTGAACAGTTGTTGAACACGCCACCAAGCGTCGACTCATGACATCACAGTTGCTGCATTCGCGTCACAGTCTCGACATTGTCATTTACCCCGTGTATCCCAGTACAGTCAACAGCATCGTGTCCCCTCAACTCCAGTTTTAAACTATTTTAAAGTTCTTTAAAGGAAGTTTACATTCTTCAAGCATGAGACTGTACAACACTGTTAACTACCATGCTAGCGAGGGAGATGGAGCCGAACGATTCCAAGAAACAGGTATTCAATTGTGTCATCAGTTGAAAGCTCCTGCCAGCGGTTCTGACTGTACCATGTTGTCATGTGTGCCAAAGTATGACGTGCAGGTTGTAGACAGCGCCTTTCAATCTTTCCCCATCAATGAATGGGATGGCTTTGACTACGAGCTGAACATTAACTGTAATCACAATGCTAGCTATGAACCACTAGCCAATGAAGGTTGTGGCTGCACTGGAAGTTACAACGGAGGTGCCGGTGCCGGCACCGCTTCGTGCGGAGACAACGGCTCTTACTATACAGGAGAACACAGTTCAGACCACGGCGGCCACCAAGGTAGTAATGTCGATTATAAATATGTAGCCGAATTTAGTGGTCCATCACAACTATGCCCTCCACGTGAAACACCATGTTACACTCCTCTGCCCCCTAAAACACACTGTCACCCTTACGAGGCCAACACGTACCACAGACCTCGCAATAACACGTCTCCACAGTGCATGGACCACTATGTCGGCTGCGACTCCTGCTGTAGCGAGTGTCCTGATACGTACGAACTGGTTCGAAACACCGATGCCCAGCGTTACAAAGGAAGAGGTCCCGACAGGTCACAGTACTTTGCTGATAGCTGTCATTAAGGCTATAGTTAACCTGGAGTTGTCAAACAATCTGCTATGTAACCGTGAACCAATTTATGTTACTGCATATGCCTCTGACCTGTCTTCGTTCTTGGGAATAAATTGATTTGAACAGAATAGTCAACAAAACGTATCAAATTACGCTCAGATCAATACTGTCAGTACTATAAGATATTGCCTCTTTAGTACGATCTACTTCCGTCCACGTGATTCCCGCCGATGACCAGATTAGGCCTATAAAAGTGCCATTCAAAAAGAGGAAGCAACAAACTGCAGAATCTTCCCATCAGCGATTCTGTAGCCTGAATATTTAACATCACAGTCCTGAACAAATTAAGTCCTTCGTGAAGGCGAACCCTGACTGCTGCATACTAACCTCAACATTATATTCTGTATCAGTCGACTTGTAGATATTAGAAGCAGCTAAATCGGGCCGATCAAAGATGATCTGTGATGAAATGTCAACTGAAGCCAATAAGACACCAGATATATCCATAGCACTGCTCGATGCACGGGGATAAATAAAGTTATTAAAGTTATATACTTGCTCTGTGGTTTAACTTCTGTATTTACTACTCTTGATTAATGTAAAATGATCTGAGTTCACATTTGTTGTTGTTTTGTTGTTGTTGTTGATAAAGATTTATAAATGTTTTGTTGTTGGTGTTGTTGTTGTTGCAATGCTGATTGTTTACTTGTGCGTGCGTCCAATGATGAGTCACTTCTACAGTCACTTGGTCACCTCTGTAGCTGGATATCATCCGTTTAGCAATGACCTATTGTATAGTTATTTTGTCCTCTCAAGAATTTTCCATGAAATTCCACCTTCCCTTCTTGCATATCCACATTCCTGGTGTCTCAGTTAGGCTTTCTAATTCATTGTTTACTGTCCATGTTTGCGTGTCATATAGTAGGATTGAAATTACATATTTTAATGTAAGAGCCAAGGAGTGGAATGGATGTAGGGGAAATAGGCAAGGTGTCGCTCTCGAGGATGCCTCGATAGATTTGGATGTCTGTGTAAATGATGGGATGGCGATGAGACCTGGGGATGCGAACACCACCATTGACCTAGCATTGGTAATCTAAGAACCAGCATTTGATACAAAATGGGGTCTTCAATGTGACCATCCATACTCGTTGCGCTGGGTTGATATACAAAGAGGGCAACGTTAGGACTTTAAAGCTTAAGAAAGTATGTAAGTTTAATAACTCTTCGGGTATCGTTGGACGTCTCAGGGAAAAGGCACGGACAATGAAACGATGATAAAACGTGTCCGAGTACAGCCTGCATTGAATTTGTCCTGGGGATACTAAGTTAGTTGCGTATCCTTTACAGGACGTTGCAAAGCCAACCCCAGCATGTTTCTGCTGTTGTGGTTTTTACCAGGCAAATTTTACGTTTAGTAGTTTGCCATTGGGTATAGGAACTATGGATCACATCTTTGATATGAGAATAATTTTTGAAAAATGCAGAGAATTTAACGTAGATCTTCATGCTCGTTTTATTGAATATAGCAAGGCATTTGATTGTGTCCAACACCACAAACTGTGGACTATTATAAAGTATGGGGTTTTCCAGCACATTTAGTGCATTTAATTGAAAATCTTTATCATGAACAACAAGCAGCCATCAGAGAAGCTGGTGAAACATCTGACTGGTTCGAGGTGCAAAAGGGGGTGAGGCAGGGGTGCATTCTCTCACAATACCTATTCAATATATACGCAGAAAATACAATGAGAAAAGTCAAAAATGACCAGACTTGTGACAGTCATGATCCGCTCAAAATTGGTGGCAGCCCTATTCCGGAACTCCGCTACGCAGATGACACATCCTCGGAGGAGCAGATGGATCACCACAGTCTGGTGAGATTGATGCAGGGGGGAGTGACGAGAGGTTCTGGCAGATGTTCGAGTGTCAGAGGAAATAGAAGACGGACGTTTAATCGGAATGCTACTGGTCCCATTAGTATCGGAACTCTTCGCTGGCTGCTAAAAATGGGGACGGAGCGCTTATTTGAATGCTCCGAGTGCTGTGATGTCGGTTTTTGAATCAAATCAATCAAGCAATCAGATCGCTGAAAAAGTCTTAACGTATAGATGCTGACTGTTCCCGTTAGTTGGTTAGTTAGTCTTTCCTCTTGTGTCGAGTGCGGCAGATAGGGCAGAGGTCATGACTCTCCATGCATGGCGTTCGTTGCAATCTGTTGTAGGTCTTGGATATTTGAGTGGCCCATGAGTGAGCCTTCCCTGATGATAGTTCTACGTAGGGTTTCCCTTGGTGTTCCCGTAGCACACTGATTATAGTCTCGTCGTTTTCTTCCTCTCATGCGTCCCTTCCTACCCGCTTCATACCTAACTCCTAGTTTACATATTCTAACACATGTTATTTTATCTAACCTCGAGTCTTCTATCAGCGTTCGTTCACATATAGTCTTCATAATATCTCCATTGTTCTGTACGATTGTTCCTGTAGTTATCGCGTTTGTAGCTAGAAAATCCGCACTTTCATGTCAATTCCCAGCCGTTCTTTCACCCTAATGAACATAACCGTGAGTATACACTAGAGTATTATAGCCTAGCGTTTTCATCTATCAGTTGTTGTACTCATAATTCTACGACACCGATACACCACTCTCTACATTCTCTCCCTAATGAGATAATGACCTGATGGAAACCGCTGCTGTTTATATTCGTGGGGCTATTTATGCCCCCTGTGTATTTGATCGACCGAGGCAACTGTCACATACCGCTCGTGTCGCGTGCCTGATTTAAGGATTTCTCCTTAAGAACCAACAGCACTCTGAAATAATAATGTTGAGGCGTCGGCTCGTATTGGTCTAAGGGAGATCCCGTGGCCAATATACGCTCAACGTATTTCAGGAGTAGGACAACTCAAGCTCTGGCACTACAGAATATCTAATATTCCTAGGCACACTTGGCTGGACACCCCCACTACTATAAAAAGATAGTCCCCAGGCTATGATAGTATACTATCATAGCCATATTAACACAGATTACACTAACTAATCACACAAACATAAAAGCTAGATAGTTAGAATGGTGAAACAGGGACACCCAAGTCAGCCATGAAAATTTCTGAATGGATGTAATAATTGCAACACACACACACACACACACATAAATATATATATATATATATATATATATATATATATATATATATATATATATATATATATATATATATATATCAAGACAATCAAGATGGTTCCCAGTGTGTGGATTTCGGGACTTAACGTCGAAGCGATGATGTTGAAACAGCCAAAGTTCAAAGAGTTCATGAATCATCACCGTGCCTCTGGGTAGACCTGTAAATATAGCATGTGGTATGTCATCTCAGATGTTACTTATCTAATCTGATAGGTCACTGCTCCCCTCAGTCCATGGTGATTTGAACCGGCTGACTCAATAGATCGCTTTTCCTCTGGTTGATCTGGTACACACTGATCGTCTCACATATGAGGACAAAAGAACTGCGCTGGAGCCCAACAAAGCTCCTGAAGAAGGCTTCCTTGGAGTGATGACACAATTAGCCTGCAATACGGTCTCTCAGCCACTGGAACTCACACACAAGCTCCTGCCATGTTGAAGTTGTGGCAACAAAAGGTAGGATTTTGGGTAGGTTTGGTGATAGAGATAATATGGGTTGGTGATTGTTGACTCGTTTGCCTTACCTCTAAGGAGGTATCATCCCAAGCTTAGGAATCCTTCAAGGATTAAGCTGGTATTTTGAATGCGCCAAAGTTTAATGAGAGAATTGAAATGCGTCTCGAAACCTCAGAAGTCCGGCAAAGAATGCCCGCGCCAGATTCCGCTTGGCGACTCTAGAAAAGAAGTCCTGTATTCGTGCCTAAGGAGTAAAAAGGCTTTCAGAAATTTCGGAATGTATTCCAGAAATTATTTATCCCACAGTTGTAAGTTTGAAAATGTAGACTTCTAAAAAAAACTAGAGGGTCTAGAAATGTTTATTCCATTCCACCAGATAGAGGTATATATCAATATGAGGGACTATATCCAGGCATATACCGCATAGAACTAACGGGTGTATCTCCTGTACAACCCAAGATTATTCTCATTCCTTCATTTTGAATCCTTTCAAGTGTAACACTTAGTGAAGTGGGTAGTGTTAAAATTCCTAAGCCGTAATCAATTTCTGAAAGGATAAAATGGTTGAACAATAAGATCAATGGTCTTTGCTCCACCTATGTCGCCAGCCTAGTCTTAAGAACCGCCAGGCCACGCTTGTCTTTTATCACCATATGTTCTAGTGACACAAGCTGGATGTTGTGAGAGCCCTTTGGGAGCGAGTGAACAGTGCAAAGGAACAGATAGATCATTACGGTCTGAGGAGAATGGCACTGCGAGGAGTTGCAAGGGGATCTGGCCGACGCTCGACACTCGGGTGAGGGGCGAGACGGATACATAATCAGACTGATACTGGTACCATCGGAATTTTAACTCTTCGTTTGCTGCTAAAGATGGGGACGGAGCGCTTTTGGGAGCTGTGATGTGGATTCTTAATTCAACATTCAAAATGTGTATGTTCTACGTGATATTTGCACGACAGATTGCGATCACATGACAAACCCAAGTTTTTTTTCTGTCCCTTCTTTCGACATTTATACCCTTCAGGATATGCTAAGCGGGTCTTCTTTTCCAATGCTGTTGTTTAAAGGACACCACAAAACAATGGCATTCTCAATGTCCACCCTTGACCCTGTTCACAAGGCTTTGTCATCTCATGCAGTACACTATAGAGTAGCTGGTCGTGTCAAGCTTGTCTGACTCTGTTCCATTACAGAAGTCCTCTGTGCGTGGAGTTACCCTAATTTTAGTTTCGGGACATGCAGCGTTGATGAAAAGGGAAAGAGCTGATAGAATGGATGGATCCGCTATAACTACCAACGGTCAACCTAGGGATCAGGCTGATGTTATTAATACCCTCTGGGAAATTGGAAGGGCGTTAGACTCTGGGG